CAGATTGGGAGCGTGAACGTCTGCAGGTGCTGGTTAACATCTCTAGGGGCTCGTTAGCATCGTTAGGTGCTCATTAGCATCTCTAGGTGCTCTTTAGCATCTTTCATTGCTCATTAGCATCTCTAGGTGCTCCTTAGCATCTTCAGGTGCTCCTCAGCATCGTTATTTTCACATCTCTAGGTGCTCATTAGCATCTCTAGTGCTCATTAGCATCTGTATGAGGTCCTTGGCAACTCTAGCTGCTCATTAGCATCTCTTGGTGCTCATTAGCATCTCTTGGTGCTCCTCACAATCGTTATTTTCACATCTCTAGGTGCTCATTAGCATCTTTCGGTGCTCATTAGCATCTCTTGGTGCTCCTCAGCATCGTTATTTTGACATCTCCAGGTGCTCATTAGCATCTTTCGGTGCTCCTTAGCATCTCTAGGTGCTCATTAGCATCTTTTGGTGCTCCTCAGCATTGTTATTTTGACATCTCTAGGTGCTCATTAGCATCTTTTGGTGCTCATTACCACCTTTCAGTGCTCCTTAGCATCTCTAGGTGCTCATTAGCATCATTAGGTGCTCATTAGCATCGTTATTTTAACACCTCTAGGTGCTTGGCATCTCTAGGTACTCATTAGCACCTTTCGGTGCTCATTAGCATCTCTAGGTGCTTATTAGCATCTCTAGGTGGTCCTCAGCATCTCTAGGTGCTCTTTAGCATCTTTCATTGCTCATTAGCATCTCTAGGTGCTCCTTAGGATCTCTAGGTGCTCATTAGCACCTTTATTTTAACATCTCTAGGCGCTCATTAGCATCTCTAGCTGCTCATTAGCATCTCTAGGTGCTCCTTAGCATCTTCAGGTGCTCCTCAGCATCGTTATTTTCACATCTCTAGGTGCTCATTAGCATCTTTCGGTGCTCATTAGCACCTCTAGGTGCTCATTAGCATCTGTATGAGGTCCTTGGCATCTCTAGCTGCTCATTCGCATCTCTTGGTGCTCATTAGCATCTCTTGGTGCTCCTCAGCATCGTTATTTTGACATCTCTTGGTGCTCATTAGCATCGTTCGGTGCTCATTAGCATCTCTAGGTGCTCATTAGCATCTGTATGAGGTCCTTGGCAACTCTAGGTGCTCATTAGCATCTCTTGGTGCTCATTAGCATCTCTTGGTGCTCCTCACCATCGTTATTTTCACATCTCTAGGTGCTTGGCATCTCTAGGTGCTCATTAGCATCTTTCGGTGCTCATTAGCATCTGTATGAGGTCCTTGGCATCTCTAGCTGCTCATTAGCATCTCTTGGTGCTCATTAGCATCTCTTGGTGCTCCTCAGCATCGTTATTTTGACATCTCTTGGTGCTCATTAGCATCTCTAGGTGCTCATTAGCATCCTTTGGTGCTCATTAGCATCTCTATGAGGTCCTCAGCATCTCTAGGTGCTCCTTAGCATCTCTATGAGGTCCTTGGCATCTCTAGGTGCTCATTAGCATCTTTTCGTGCTCATTAGCATCTCTATGAGGTCCTTGCATGTCTAGGTGCTCATTAGCATCTTTTGGTGCTCATTAGCATCGTTAGGTGCTCATTAGCATCGTTAGGTGTTCCTTAGCATCTCTAGGTGCTCCTTAGCATAGTTATTTTGACATCTCTTGGTGCTCATTAGCATCATTAGGTGCTCCTTAGCATCATTAGGTGCTCCTTAGCACCTTTATTTTAACATCTCTAGGTGCTCATTAGCATCTCTAGGTGCTCATTAGCATCATTAGGCGCTCCTTAGCATCATTAGGTGCCCTCTACCACCTCCAGGTTCTCTTTAACACCCAGATCAGCACCCTGCCCCCATGGACCCACCCAGCACCCACCCAGCACCCACCCAGCACCCAACCCACCTTGCTGTTGAGCAGATCGAGGTCTAAATCAGCTTTTTTGGCCCATTTTTGCCAAAAATTGGGATCATCCAAAGCGATGTCGGTGCGGTTTTCCGAGGCGACGAAACTGGCCTGAGGTGGAAGGGGAATGGAAAAGGAGACAGAATTCAGACATACAGAAAGAAGAAGAAAAAAAAAACACCTAAAAGGATGGGAAATAAGGAAAAAAAAGAAAGGATTTTGGGGAGGGGAAACCTTGGCAAAAGTGGAGCCTTTCCCCTCGCTCTCGATGGTGATGGTGGTGGTGCGACGCAGCAGGATCTGATCAATGTCTTCCTCGCAGAACTTGGAGCCTTCATCATCCTCCTCCATGATGGCAGCGTAGGCACCCTTACGAAGGAGGTCCTCGATCTCCTTTTTGGAGAATTGTTGGATCTGTGGGGTGGGGGAAAGGATAAAGGGTGGTTTTGGGGTCTTGGGATCAGCCCCGAAGGTAAATATTGGGATGCCAGTGCTGTGTTGTGGGGTTTTCCCAAGCAAAGTTGCGGTCTTGACCTCAAAATTCTCAGGGAGGAGACAAAATGTGAGGTCTGTTGCTTTTGAAAACCCAAAACTTGGGATCTTCACCCCATGTTTTGCTTGGGAAAACCCAAAGCTGGGATCTCGACCTCAAAATTCTCATGGAGGAACCAAAATGTGAGGTCTGTTGCTCTTGAAAACCCAAAACATGGGATCTTCACCCCATGTTTCGCTTGGGAAAACCCAAAGTTGCGGTCTTGACCTCAAAATTCTCATGGAGAAATCAAAACTTGAAGTCTGTTTCTCTTGGAGAACCCAAAACATGGGATCTTCACCCCATGTTTCTCTTGGAAAACACCAAAACTTGGGATCTTCACCCCATGTTCTACATGGAGAACCCAAAACTTGGGATCTTCACCCCATGTTCTATATGGAGAACCCAAAACTTGGGATCTTCACCCCATGTTTCGCTTGGGAAAACCCAAAGCTGGGATCTTGACCTCAAAATTCTCAGGGAGGAGACAAAATGTGAGGTCTGTCGCTCTTGAAAACCCAAAACTTGGGATATTCACCCCATGTTTTTCATGAAGAACCCAAAACTTGGGATCTTCACCCCATGATTCGCTTCGGAAAACCCAAAGCTGGGATCTTGACCTCAAAATTCTCATGGAGAAATCAAAACTTGAAGTCTGTTACTCTTGGAGAACCCAAAACTTGGGATCTTCACCCCATGTTTCGCTTGGGAAAACCCAAAGTTGCGGTCTTGACCTCAAAATTCTCATGGAGAAATCAAAACTTGAAGTCTGTTTCTCTTAAAAACACAAAACATGGGATCTTCACCCCATATTTCTCTTGGAAAACACCAAAACTTGGGATCTTCACCCCATGTTCTACATGGAGAACCCAAAACTTGAAGTCTGTTGCTCTTGGAGAACCCAAAACTTGGGATCTTCAACCCATGTTTCTCTTGGAAAACCCCAAAACTTAGGATATTCATCCCATTTTTCTTTTGGAAAAGATGAGGTCTTCACCCCTCATTTCTCAAGAAAAACCCCAAATATTGGCTTTTCCCACCCCATTTCTCATGGAAAACCCCAAACATTGAGTCTTCAGACCCTGTTTTTCATAGAAAACCCCAAATATTGGGTCTTAACACCCCGTTTCTCATGGAAAACCCCAAACATTGGGTCTTCCCACCCCATTTCTCACAGATAACCCCAAATATTGGCTCTCCCCACCTCATTTCTTATAGAAAACCCCAAATATTGGCTTTTCCCACCCCATTTCTCATGGAAAACCCCAAATATTGAGTCTTCCTACTCTCTTTCTGATAGAAAACCCCAAATATTGGGTCCTCACACCCCATTTCTCACAGATAATCCCAAATATTGGGTCCTCACACTCCATTTCTCATGGAAAACCCTAAACATTGGCTCTTCAGACCCCATTTTTGATAGAAATCCCCAAATATTGGGTCTTAACACCCCGTTTCTCACAGATAATCCCAAATATTGGCTTTTTGCACACCATTTCTCAAGGAAATCCCCAAACATTGGGTCTTCCCATCCAATTTCTCATAGAAAAACCCAAATATTGGCTCTTCTCACCCCATTTCTTATAGAAAACCCCAAATATTGGCTCTTCCCACCCCATTTCTTATAGAAAACCCCAAATATTGGGTCTTAACATCCCGTTTCTCACAGATAACCCCAAATATTGAGTCTTCCTACCCCATTTCTCATAGAAAAACCCAAATATTGGCTCTTCCCACCCCATTTCTTATAGAAAACCCAAAATATTGGCTCTTCCCACCCCATTTCTTATAGAAATCCCCAAATATTGGGTCTTAACACCCCGTTTCTCATAGAAAACCTTAACATTGGGTCTTCCCATCCATAGAAAAACCCCAATATTAGCTTTTCCCACCCTGTTTCTCATGGAAAACCCCAAATATTGGCTCTTCCCATCCCATTTCTTATAGAAAACCCCAAATATTGGCTCTTCCCATCCCATTTCTCATGGAAAATCCCGAACACTGAGTCTTCAGACCCCGTTTTTGATAGAAAACCCCAAACATTGAGCCTTCACACCCCATTTCTTATAGAAAACCCCAAATAATGGCTCTTCCCACCCCATTTCTCATAGAAAACCCCAAACATTGAGTCTTCAGACCCCGTTTTTGATAGAAAACCCCAAACATTGAGCCTTCACACCCCATTTCTCATGGAAAACCCTGAACACTGAGTCTTCAGACCCCGTTTTTGATAGAAATCCCCAAACATTGACTCTTCCCACCCCATTTCTCATAGAAAACCCCAAACACTGAGTTCTTCAGACCCCGTTTTTGATAGAAAACCCCAAATATTGTGTCTTAACACCCCGCTTCTCACAGACAACCCCAAATGCTGGCTCTCCCCACCCCATTTCTCACAAATAACCCCACAAATCCCATCTTCCCACCCCTGTTTCCCCTCGGATGACTCCTCACCCCGGCGATGTTCCCCTCCCGGCCGCTCATGGATTGCAGCACAGCCTTATCCAGGCCCAGCTTCAGGCTGGCTTTGTCAAACATCTCCCTCTCGTAGGAGTTTCGTGTGATGAGGCGATAAACCTTCACTGCTTTGCTCTGCCCGATGCGGTGGCACCGAGCCTGCGCCTGGGGGTGCAAAAGAAAAGGGTGAGGAGGGGGCTGTGGGGTCCCCAAAACCCATCCGGGTGGAAGCGACGGAGCCACAAAACCCAACGAGACAATGGGATGGCAAAAAAAGTGGCCCTAAGGACTAAAATCCCGTAAAAATGGAGTCAGTCGGGAGCCAAAATCCCAATAAAATGGGGGCAGTGGGGTCTCAAGGGCAAAATCCCATCGAAGTGGGGTCAATGGGGCAAAAAAATCCCAATAAAATGGGGTCAGTGGGGTCTCAAAGACAAAATCGTATAAAAATGGAGTCAATGAGGCATCAAAAACCGAATAAAATGGGGTCAGCTGGGTCTCAAACCCAAAATCCCATTGAAATGGAGTCAATGAGGCAAAAAAATCCCAATAAAATGGGGTCAGTGGGGTCTCAAGGACAAAATCCCACCAAAATGGAGTCAATAGGAACACCAGAGTCCCATCAATGGGGCACCAAACCCCAAATCCCACCAAGATGGCACCCACTGCTCCCCAAATCCCATTGAGATGGCATCAAGGGGACCCCAAATCCTAATCCCACAAGAAGAATTCCTCCAGGACCCCAAACCCAACATCCTACAGACATGGGACCCCAAACCCAACATCCCACAAGAAGAACACCCCCAAATCCAACACACCCTACAGACACAAAACCCCAAAACCCAACACAACCTACAGACACATGACCCCAAACCCGACACACCCTAAAGACACAAAACCCCAAACCCAACAAAACCCCAAACCCAAGACCCTACAGACACATGACCCCAAACCCAACACCCTACAGACACAAAACCCCAAACCCAACATCCTAAACACACAGAACCCCAAACCCAAGACCCTACAGACACGAAACCCCAAACCCGACACACCCTACAGACACGAAACCTCAAACCCAAGACCCTACAGACACGAAACCCCAAACCCAACATCCTAAACACACAGAACCCCAAACCCAAGACCCCACAGACACAAAACCCAAAACCCAACACACCCTACAGACACAAAACCCCAAAACCCAACACACCCTACAGACACGTGACCCCAAACCCGACACACCCTAAAGACATGTGACCCCAAACCCGACACACCCTACAGACACAAACCCCAAAAACCCAACACACCCTACAGACACAAAACCCCAAACCCAACGAAACCCCAAACCCAAGACCCTACAGACACAAAACCCCAAACCCAACACTCTACAAACACGAAACCCCAAACCCAACACATCCTAAACACACAGAACCCCAAACCCAAGACCCTAAAGACACGTGACCCCAAACCCGACACACCCTAAAGACAAGATACCCCAAATCCAAGATCCTACAGACACAAAACCCCAAACCCAACATCCTAAACATAGAGAATCCCAAACCCAACACCCTACAGACACGAAACCCCAAACCCAACACATCCTATACACAGAACCCCAAACCCAAGACCCTACCGACACGAAACCCCAAACACAACATCCTAAACACACAAAACCCCAAACCCAGGACCCTACAGACACAAGACCCCAAACCCGACACGCCCTACAGACACGAGACCCCACACCCAACACCCTACAGACACGAACCCCCAAACCCGACACACCCTACAGACACGAGACCCCAAACCCGACACACCCTACAGACACGAGACCCCACACCCAACACCCTACAGACACGAGACCCAACACCTTACAGACACGAGACCCCAAAGCCAACACCCTACAGACATGAAACCCCAAACCCAATACCCTACAGACACCAAACCCCACACCCAACACCCTACAGACACTAAACCCCACACCCAACACCCTACAGACACGAGACCCCAAACCCAAGACCGTACAGACACCAAACCCCAAACCCAAGACCGTACAGACACCAAACCCCACACCCAAGACCCTACAGACACGAGACCCCAAACCCAAGACCCTACAGACACCAAACCCCAAACCCAAGACCGTACAGACACCAAACCCCACACCCAACACCCTACAGACACCAAACTCCAAACCCAAGACCCTACAGACACGAGACCCCAAACCTGACACGCCCTACAGACACCAAACCCCAAACCCATCACCCTACAGACACGAGACCCCAAACCCAACACCCTACAGACACCAAACCCCAAATCCCCCCAAACCTGGAGGTCGTTTTGTGGGTTCCAGTCGGAGTCGAAGATGATGCAGGTGTCCGCGGCCGTCAGGTTGATGCCCAGGCCGCCCGCCCTGGTGCACAGCAGGAAGACGAAACGATCCGAATCCGCTTTGCTGAAGCGGTCGATGGCGGCCTGGCGCAGGTTGCCCCGCACGCGGCCGTCGATCCGTTCGTACAGGTACCTAAAAATCCCAAA